CCTGCACCAAGAAAAGTCAAAATCAGAATTACAGAGATAGGCCAGTGCTGATGTCCCATTTCACGCTTGTGTCTACTGCCAATCTCTCCATCATTTCAACTAATAGATTAAACAAAAAATCTTCACTTAGCTCATAAACCATTCAGCTTTCATAGGGATCTGTAGCCCCGATGTTATCATTTGAAGGAAAGCAGCCAATTAATATTTTCATTTACTCTGAATTATCAATATTTTCAGTAGATCTTGACAACATTTACAAATGCACTCAAAAACTACCCTTGAAGATTTTTCCCAAAAATCACTTCATTTGAACTTTTAGTGAACCATGTCAATTTGATAAGAAGTTTCCAGAACAGCAGAAGAATTAATTTTTCAGTTTTTCTGGTTCATTAATCTTGAACAGCCATGCACTAATTGCAAGTCATGCCAGTAGAGACAACATAGGTCTTCACCCTAAGAATTCATTCTCTTGGCCGCTTGCCCAATGACAACATGATATTACTTCATATTTTCTTTTCCCAAAAACTAGACAAAGCCATAATTTCCAGAAAAAAAAAAAACAAACAAACCTACCTTGCCAACACTCAACACAGAAAGGATGACCACAGGCAGCAGAACTCATCCTATCAGAAGGATATGTCTCAAAGCAGATCCACAAGTCAGCTGTAAATAAATGAGACACAAATGAAGTTAAGGACTCCAATTAAATATTAATTCCCAGAAAATTAAACCTAGCCACAGAAATTTTTTTTAATCTGGAATGGTTGAAACTTTGGCTTTGCATAAAGAATTCAGTCACCTCTTTGGCATCAGGAAGTGGGATAGGATCCTCCAACAATCCAACAATCCTCCGGACCCCTTTCTTCATCTGCAAACCACTCATCGTTCACTTTACTAACACTCCTATTAATCAAAACATAGTTGGGCTTCTTTAGGAGGTTGATAAAACTGACATCTCAAAGAAGAGAACACAGAAAAATGCTCTAAAAATTACTTTTAACACAAATAGGAATACGGAAACCAATAGAAAGACAGCTCACCAATTATAGTGGCGCAGCAGAATACTAGCATCAATTCTTGATATTGAAAGCACCGTAGATATCTGTGTGATATTTTCCTCTTGACGCTGACATATATCGGCTTCAGTCAAAACGGTATAGTTTGGCTGCAACAGAATTTGAAAATTAACTTCAAAGTCCAATCATGCAACACATGAAACTTATATTTAGAGGCACAATTCAAATTAAAATAACAGGACAAAACAGTAGGTCAAGGCAAACAAGCAGGCAGAAACAGAAAGGAAGGACTCAGAACTGCCAGCACATGCATACAAGTATCAAGCTCCTTGAGTCATGGCTCAGTCTCAATAATCACAAAGATAACCATACAAAGAGTAAAGATTAGCAATGAGTCCTTGATTATTTAGTAGATGTTTACCATTGAACTCTCAAAGTATAAGTACTATTTTACCCATTTTATGTTGCAGATTAGGTGAATTTTCTACAGAAAGATTAAGAAGTAGTCAGCAGAGAAGCAGAATTGGGTAAAATTCTGGCTGGTTTATTGACCACCAGATTTCAGGATGCCATAAGGGCAGGGGAATGTGCTAATCTAGTGGAATGTCATAAGGTGAGAGAATGCAACACTTCTAAGAGTCTCCTCTTATTAGCAGCTACTTGACAAACTTCAGGAGTAGTACTTCATTAAGCTTTTCCAACCAAAGCTAGACAAAATGATGCAATCAAATTCTCTTTCTAAAATGGCTAACACTACTTCTCTAACACAGGATTGAGAAACATTGATAAAAATTACATGCTCATGGATAGTGTGTGTATCATCAAACCAAAGTCCATGGGTCTAGAACATATGTTAGCTTGATAACAGCAGGGGAAAAGTATTAAGCTTATGCAGGCATATGAACTTACTCCATTTAAGCACGAAGATGTTCCAAAAATTGAACTCATCTTTACCCAAGTTTGCCTCTTTCAACTTATCATGAACAACAAACCTCAGCAATACTACTAGAAATTCTTTTTCTTCTTCTAATCCATTAGACAAATGCATTCACCCACAACGGAAGCTTGCTAGATAATCAGAAAATGCCTTTTTTACATGCAAGAACCACCCAAATCAATTTCATACATATCCTGGATAATTGAGCCCTCAAAAACATCTTATCTGATATAACAATAGTCACTTCAATTATTTGACATCCAGATTTAGAGTTCATGCATTTTTATGAGACGGCATTACCCTGCCAATCTATCATTCAATCTAGAAATATGCTCTTTGGAGACTGCCGCGTTGGATCCGTCACTTATATAAAGCATATATCACAAAGCAATCACTGAGGTACAATTCTCAACAATATTATACACAATAGTGATGAAAGCACAATAAAGATCAATTATAAGTAAAACTGAGTGCTTCATCAATTTGAATTCTGTCATTTCTTAACAAAATTCAAACTTATCAGAACAGAATAATACAGTTCACAGAAGTTGTTCAGTCAATAAACATTGACCATGTTAGGAGTCTAAATTACACCGAAACATATCTTGTAAAAAGATGAAGAAACTAAAGAATGAAAATTTCAGGATGCGCACATGTAGAATGTTGGAAGGTACAATAGGTGAGGTACAATGTGAAGGCTCAACTTCACACAAGCAGCAAAACAAATATTTCATCTCACTTTGTCCATAAACTCAATACCTATCTTTTGCTTAACAGAACAAGAAGATAAGAAAGTAAAGGAATAAGAGATTAAGTTCATTGTCCTTTGATTATTTTAAAGAGGGTAAGAAAGCACAGAAAAACGAAGCAGATGGAGGTCAAATAATGGATGCTATCAGCAATTCTGTTTTGTCCAAAAGTGGTAACAAATGGAAGGAAGAATCCTAGTTCACCGTATTTTCTTTCTTTTTTTTTTCCTTTTTTTGGAAAAGTTATAAAAATACCCCAGGTTTAAAAGAGATTTTGATGATTTCATTTGTTTCTCGATAATGTCCAACCATTCCTTTGACTCTTCCAATACAGGCTATGCTTTAAACTTGTATAATCATCAAGTTCCCTGTCAAGTTGATTTAATAGATGAACAACTCAGCAAATTAGTAATGCTAATCCCTGAGACCCAGCATTCCTTTGTGTTAATTTTCAGTCAAAATCAGGTTAGACAGAGAAACAAGTCAAAGAGCAACTTTTTCAACTTTTTAGGTCTAAGTTAACCCACATTATTCTTAATTATAGAGTAACAAAGAACGAAAGAAATTTTAAGAAAGTTATAAGCTCAGTGGCTCCAACCGATCTCCTCGAATGTAAAACGCATTTACATATCCAAGCACAAAACTCATAATGCCACCGCCGGAAACCAAGCGTAAAAAGAAGCTGAATGTTCCAGACATCAGTTTGCAACAATAAGCGAAATACAGCTCATCAAGCTGATGGTATCTTTTCTTACTTCTAAGCTTCTATCAAATACACTAACACTGAATTCAACTAAATTCAAACTACCCGGTTTCATTTCTCAATCATTTTCCAGAGATACGATCATGAAGTAGCCCAGATGAAGAAAAACCATGATCCAGCCCTCAGGGGAAAAAATCAGCTTTTCAAACAGCTGAATCGTATTAAAATTACCAGCAAATTAACAGCTAACATGCAAATGCATACCTAAGCTGATCGATCGTCCAACCATATATATATATATATCGTTATAAAAAAAAATTTACAGGAGAACATGACGGTGACCATGATGAAAAGAAAATGATACCTGAAAGCGGTGGTGGGAGGGAAGCTCATCGGAATCATCGGAGTCATTATCCATGAAGTCGTAATACATGATTACGTCGGCGTCATCGGAGTCGTCGCCGCTGTAAAAGTCATCGTCTAAGGACTCGGCGTCGTGCATCAACATTGCGCCCTCGGAATCCATTTCTCTGTCTCTCCGGCTGTAAACCTCAAAAGCCAGCAACTCTTAAGGCCACCCAGGAACTAATAACCTAACCCTCAACGCCCCCTTTGATCGATGTGGGATTCTTGTGGGCGAAATGACGAGTACCTCAACTCGTATTTGTTTGGTCGATGAGAGAGAAAGAGAAAGAGGACTTTGTTATTTATAGCTTTATGGGTGGAGGACAGGGAAGGTGGGAAGAGACGTAGACGAAAAAGCAATGTAGGAACAGTGTCGAGTTACTGATGTCGTCATTATTGAAAATTTATGGAATTACTAAAATGACCCTAAAATCTTTTTCACAATCCTTCTATTCCTGACTTTCATGCTTTGAACTAAAGCAATGCATTTTTCAAGATTTACACGTGTAGTTAGACTAATTAGTCTTCATATTTAACACCCTTTTCCAAAAAAAAAAGTTAAAAGGCATGTATGTGGAGCAAATCGTGATATCAAATTAGAGTTGCAAACGAATCCAACCGCTCGTAACCGTGATATTAAAATTTAGAACAATAGACCTATCATAAGAATCACATCATATTTCAAATTATATGAAATAATCGTTATTCATACTCGTTTGAATTACTAACTTTTGAAATTTTTATAAAAAATTATAATGTAATTATTTGACATATATATATAATAAAATAATAATTAAAAAATAAGTTCACGAAAAATGTTTTAACTTAAATTATCCAATTCTCCAATTCAAAGTTTTAACTTAAATTATCAAAATCATATTAAAAGCTATTGTGCGTTTCATGACTAACTTCTTCATTTTTTTAAAAAAAAATTTTTGGAGCGAATTAGTAGCCTTGTAGCGTAAGGGCGTTTAATGTACGAAGGACATCAAAACGATAGTTGATGATACTACTGACATTTAAGGGTTGATTACAACTTGACAAAGTAGGATCATTGAAATGTAAGAGATCGAAATGAAAAAAGGCGGTAAAGACTTCAGAAACGTAACAAGTCGATCAGCACTAGGCACCTGAAGCAAGTCACCAAAGGGGGCCGGTGGACCTAAACAAACATGTACCGATGACTCTCATTTGGATAAACGAGTTCGCTTTCAATAACACAATATCAGTCAGAAGCATTAGATATGAACAAGGAATATGTAATGGAGAACATACCACCAGAAAATAGAGGCACTAAGTTTGCAAATGGCTGTTACAAAGAAAAACGAAAATATGTCTCCTCTTCATTTTTCATTGGCTACAAATTCTTCTTCTCCCTTTGGATAGGTTCAGCAGGTGAGATGTGAAAAGAAACAGGAAAAGAAGGGGGATTTGGAAACCATGGAGTTCGAACCCTCGTGATCATGTAAAGACCTTGACCATTCTACTTCGCCAAATTTAATCTGAAAATACACTTGAAAATGAGAGGGCATCAACTTCTTATCTTCAAATCAAATGACATAATGAAAATTATTCAACACACTCAGAAGCTATGTCAATCAATGTGAGAGGCTAGGTAAGATCATCTTCATCTAAGGGCTCTTCTTTCTGGGGCAGCACCCTTCAACGAAGTTACATCACCATCGGCCAATTTCCGAGCATGCCTGATGATCTGCAGCAGTAACACTGTCAAAAAGTTCTTCCAAACCTCTATATCCACACAACAATAAGACCATGTAAAAATTGCATGATTTTTTCAAATAGCAAATTAATGTTTATGTCATTTGCTGTACAATAATTTCTACCCCAGTTCTTTCTTACTTGTCGATACAAGTACCATGACATCCAACAAATGAGGACACACCAATGAAGTATATATAAATGCATAAAAATACCATGGGAGTGGGAGAGTTTGAATCCTAATTATTCTTTCTAAACACCACACCTAACCGTCCATGAAAAATCAAGGCTAATATATTCCATCATTTTGAAGTAGACAAAGACGTTTTGGTGATTTTACAGGCCAATGCATAGACACCATCAGATGGTGCTGAATAGACTGAAAAGATAGATTACCGCGTGGTCTAGATTGGAAATAGTGCTTGATTGAGCCACCCGTTTGATTTCCTCCACATCCCCATCAGAATAAGCAGAAAGAAGTTTATTGGCACAACGATTTTGATCACTGTTCAAGAAAGCTTCAATCCTGCAAAAGAAGAGCCAATAATGACAAGTTCATGAGAAAATTCCGCTAAAGGACTGCTAAGAAAGGATTGGGTTCTCTTTGGTATTGATGAAATGTACAAACATTTAAAAAGGCTCAAATCCTTCATATTAGGAGTTTAAGAGTTAATCCAACAAAGGAAAATCTTATAAGCACAATACTTTCTCCCACCCCAGTCTGCGTTTATCTGACCAGGTAAACAAATCCACCCCACACAGGAGAGGCCAATACAAGATATAATAATGTGAATTCTCTGTCCTATATGAGCTAAACCTTTCTGATAAAATAGTGATTGAAGAGATCTTAATTCATATTAAATGGTGTACATGCATGCAATTACTTGAAGAAAATTGACTACTCTGAATGTCTGATTCTTCTATTCTGTTAGTTTCCTTTTCTAACCATTTATTCCTTTACCGTTTTACCTGTTCTTTCTTTCTTTGGCATGCATGTCAGCTAAACAGTCATAAAAGAGAATGTGCTACTTGAAAAACTGAAAGCTAAGAAAAGAAGAAAACTCTTAACTAAGAAATTTTAAAAATAGAAAGGAAAAAAAAACTTGTTCTATGCCAGGATTTGAGGTGTCGTGAATGATGAAAAAATTAGAATTTGAACGTACTGGCAACAATCATTGTGGCACTTCTCTGCTTGCTGGAAGTCATGAGCATAAAGGTATACAATGATGGCACTGAGATAAGCCTAGAACCAAATCAGACATGTCAACTTCAATT